CCCACAGGTGCCCACAGCCTCGTTTCCAGAACCTGTGTGTGACTGTGCTTGGTTGATGGTGAACGGGGTAAGGCCACGGAAGGAATTGGGCTTGCTTCTCAGCTGACCTTGAGATGGGAGGTGACCCTGCTTGTCCGTGGAGCCCAGGGGGGCACAGGGACCCTCAGAAGTGCAAGAGGGAGGCAGCCGAGGGTCAGAGGAGGAGCTGTGGCAACAGAAGCGGGGTGTAGGGAGGTGCCACGCGGCTGCCTTTGTCCGTGGACGAAGGGACCAGGAGCCCGGGGAACGTGGGTGGCCTCCAGGATCTGGAAAAGGCAAGACACAGGTCCTCCCCGGGGGCCTCCCGAAAGGAGTGAAGCCCGCTGACCCCTTCTTCTTACCCAGTGAGGCCGGGGTTGCATTTCTGAGCTCCCCGAACTGGTGAGAGCGTCCGTTCGTGGTGTTGGAAGCTGCTGCGCCTCGGCAGCTCCTCGCCGCGGTCGGAGCCAAGCCGGCCGCCCGTGTGTCTCTGCGGCATGTCGCGCAGGTCTTACTCCCTGTGGTCTGCTCACGGGCTGTGATATTTGGGAAGTCAGCTGCTCCCGTCAAGAATGTCTTGAATCCTTTTGCATGTCACTGTCTACATGCTCCCAAAACCATCCTCAGAAATTTGCAGTCTTAAACGTGTTTGTTAAAAATTAAGAAAGATTAAAAAAAAAAACGAAATGAGCTTTCTTTCACCAAGGAGGCTAAAATCATAGTAGAGAGTGGAAGGAAGAAATTCAACGTGTGAAAAGCAGACACTGATGAGAGAACTAGACACAGAAGAACTGGTCGGTGAGACCAGCCCGGCTGCACCCCGGACCCCGACCGGAGGAAGCATGGGGGTACAAACCGCGTCCACTTCTTAGCGATGGGCGGGCGTACAGAAGCCGAGCTCAAGTAGTACAGTGGGTCCCACGGTGTTTTGGAAGACTAGGGCATCACAGGAATGGAAATGTCTCGGCGTAATCCACACTAACAGCGTAAAAGAGAAAAACTGTGTGAAAACAGTTGCTAACGCTCAAGATGTACTCGTCAGTTTTGCAGTTAGAACTGCTGTAATTGACTACACCTGCCAGAGACTTCCAGCAAACTCCACATTTGACAGTGGGATGCAGGAGGGGTCCCCGTGCAGGTCAGGATGGAGGCCAGGTTGCCTTCGGTCACCGTAACTAGGCAAGGTGTCTCTGGACGTCCGAGCCATCATAATAAGAAAAATGTACGACGTGTAAAAGTAAACAAAGGAAACCTCGTTGGAAGTGGGGTCTCCCCTTGCGTTGTGACGGGAAGAGCCTGTCGGGTTCCGCGTCCCCAGCAGACTGCGGGCACTCGGTGAAGCAGCCCCTCCCGGCTGCTGCCACCGGACAGGCCTGTGGCTCACCCTACACGCTCGTCCTGGGTTGTAAGTCTCTGCTTTTCCCAAATAAACTCATTTTGCTGCTAAAATAGCTGGCTTTTTTGTTTATTTAAGGTCAACAAAAGGTAGGAAAAGAAAAACCCAAGTGGTTATTATTTGCAGAAATGTGAAAGTCCTCTTAGAAAAGCAAAAATGAACAGATGACCAGTATTGAAGTCCAGAGAGGTGGCCGGTAACAATCCAGCATGTGAACCAGCGTTTCTGGGCCCACTCGTGACCAACTGCCTCCGGAGATGCATCGTGCAAAGGGCTCATGGAGCGGGAAGACTTAGGACGCCCTGGGAAGGGGCCCAGTACGGAGTACGCAGGACGCTGCAGTCACTTAGGACACACTTGGGAGCAGGGCGGTGGCCAGGGCTCAGCTGGGGAGATTCTGCCACCCAAGTGGGTCTACAAATGGAATGCCGCCCCAAGCAAAAGTCCCCAGAGAGCTAGCGTGCGGTTTGATCAGCGGACTCTGGGCTTGGATGTGGGGACCAAGGACAAGACAGTCCTGAACTTGGTGCCTGCTGCCGTCCTGTCTTCCAGGCTTGGAGAGGGGCTTTGGGGCCCCTCGTGCCTCTTGTCCATCTCAGCTCCCTTTGCTGGGGCTCCAAGGGCTCGGCACAAGCTCTCAGGAGGCGCTGGGGGAAGGGGTTCCCCTTGGAAGACCCCTGAGCCCACCTGTATAGCAGGGCAGCTGGGCTCCAGCCACTGGGGCCACCTCAGAGCTCAGGGTGGGTGATGAGCGCCCCGGGACCCCTCCTGTCCTGAAGGGCCAGGACCCCGGGACGGGACGGAAGAGGGGGCTGTGGCAGATGCCCAGAGCGCGTCTGGAGCCCACAGCGTCTCGGGACACGGGACAGCGCAACAGGGTGGCCTGGTGAACGGTCCTCCTGGCAACCCAGAGGGACCCTGGAGGCATGGTGCCGGCGGCCGTGAGGAGCCTGCCTGGGAGCCAGGCACACCGAAGACCTCGGGGAACCCTGCCTGAGGAGCCCCTCGTCCACTTCTGGGGCCCGGAGACCCCAGGGGCCTGCCTGTGCGGCGGGGGAGGCTGTGCACACTGCCCTCTCTGGGTGGGGGCCCCTCAGAGTGCCGTGAGCTGGGGTGGCTACTGCCCCAGAGACCCCAGGCTCTGGGCCAGGCCCGGGTGGTCCGGCCAGACCTGACGGGGTCATTCGTCACCAGCTCAGTGCTTTGCACCAGGGCAAGGCGGAAGGAACCAGAGATGCTGTGGGCTCACATGGCAGACACGTGGCAGGGCCCACGACCTAGCTCTGTTGGTGGGCAGAGTCTTGGGCCAGGGACCCCACTCTGGGGTGTCCCCAAGCTCCTGCTGACCTCACTGGGCTGCGCCTGGGGGCCTGGAACGGCAGAGGTGCTCCCCCCGGCCCCAGCCCCAGGTAGGCGGGCCGAGGTCCTGCATTTGGAGCGGCCCGTGCGCCACCCCGGACCGCAGACCTCCGTGTGCGTGCAGCCTGCCCTGCTGTCGGGTCCCACCTGGCACGCAGCAGCCTTGTTCGTGGACCTGCAGCCCTGCCCAGCCCGTCTGTTGTAAGACTCCTGCCCCTGCAGCTTCCAGAATGCTGAGTCTAGCTTGAGCCCCCGGGGAGACCACTGGGGTGTGCACCGGGGTGAAGAGGCCGCCCGCCTCGGCCGTTCTGTGGAGCCCAGGCAGGTTCGCGAGCTCCTCCCGCGGACACAGCTCGTGGCTCTTGCTAATTTGGGGGCTCCTTTAGCCACGCATGTAGGTGGGCTCACCCCCTGCTCCTTGCCGTTCTGCTCGCGGCCTTGTCTTTGGCTTTGTGATCCCGCTTTCTGCCGTCTGTGGTTTTCGTGGCATTTTACACGGTGGCACATCCTTTTGTGTCCCAGCACATCGCTTGGACTTCGGGAGACGGTGCGGGGGCTGCTCTGGAGTTTGCGGTGTCTGACAGATCGCCACTTTGCAGGGCGTGCCCCCCCCGCACCCCCAGGATGGCGCCTTCTGCTCACCCGCCCGGCACCTTGTGAGGTCCCTGTCTGAGCAGTGTCCTGTCAGATTAGGACCCAGAAGTTTCTCCTTGTGTTTGAAACACGGAGCGGCTTCTCGCCTGTCCCAGGGCTGACCCCTCCTGGTGTTCGTGCCACCAGCCCCGTTGTGCTCGCGCATCCCTGCCGCCCCATCCTGGTAACCCCGAACTCAGGGCTCACGGCCTGCGCCCCACCTGGTCCCAGGGGTGGGGAGGGTTCTCTCCCCCTCCACTCCCTCAGGCCCCCTGCTGCTGGGTGATGGTGTGGGAGGGAATGCTCACGGGCAGGACCCTGGGGCCTCCACCCGCTCAGCACCCCTTCCTCACCGGCCCCAGCGGCCACACCAAGGGCCTGCAAGTTCACCGAGGGCAGGAGGCCCGGGCAGGCTGGGCGTGGGGGGGGTGGGGTGAGCTGGTTGTGTGGCCGGGCCACACCCACCCTCAGGGCAGGCCCTTCTGCCACCTGCCGCCATCTAGACACTGTTGACCCTTCCCCTTCACCCAGCTTCTTGGGGTGCACTCTGAAACGAACGTGGATGCCTCTGTGCTGGTGTACATCGCCCCGGGGCGGCCCTGCTCTCCTGCCCCCCAACACCTGCTGGTCTCAGGAGCCCAGCACACAAGTGCACCCTCATGTTTGCAGAAAGCATCCATTTAATAGAAGGTTCCAGCATTGACCGTGCAACGCCTGTCTCAGTCACAAAGAAAGCCCGACAGCCTGTCACGCGCGACCACGCCGTCTTTCCCCTGCAGAGAGGACCTGGGCCAGCAGCCCAGGGTGGGTTGTGCTTCAGGTCGGGGCCAACGGGCATCGAGCGCCCCGTGGAAATGGCCCAGCCCGCCCGACGCCCGCAGATGTAAACACGGAAGGGTTCTTGGCTGCGCAGTCCTCGCTCGCAGGAACCCTCGTGTGTCGGCTGGCCTCTCGGGGCGTCTCGAGGCAGCCCGCCCCCCCTCCACGCCCGGCGAGCAGGCCCAGCCTCAGGGTGAGGGGGCCCCAGGCCAAGCTGCTGTGTTCACGGCTCCCCTCCCCTGCCTGCACGGTGTGGAGCGCTCGCCGGCGGGGAGCTCCTCGGGGCCCCACTCTGGGCCAGACCCTCACAATCGTGTGGCCAAGCCCAGCCCCGTGAGCGGGCCATCCGTCCGTGGCCGTGGAAACACGGCTTGCGCGTGAGCTGTGTGTCTGTGTGTGCCCGGCTGTTGGGGGCGGGGCTCAGCTCCCTCCCGTCCCCACGCACCCAGCCTCCCCCTGCAGCGCAGCCGTGTGCCCCCGCGGCCCTCCCTCCGCTCAGCCGGGCCCGGTCACGAGTTGCGGTACGTTGTGTGGGGACGCGGACTGTACAGGTTTGTAAAAACGGGTTAAAAAGGCCTCCCCGCCAGCTTCTCCTGGGGCCCCGGGGCACGCTCCCCCCTCGTCACCCCCGGTGAGGGCTCCCGTTCGGGGCGGGGGGCCAGCGTTGCAGCCAGGGCCCAGCTGGCCTGGCGGGGTCCCGGCGCTCCATGCAGCGCGATGCATGCCGACGTGGGGATGGGGCCCGCGGCCCCGGCGGCTGGGCTCCTCGTGGTGCTCAGAGCTGCGTCTCGTCGCGAGTCTCCGGGTTGCAAGAAGCCAGTCGGGGGCTGCAGCTGCCCTTCCGGCTCTGCGCGCCGCTCGCCACGTGGGCCAGGGGGTCAGAGCGGATGAGGTACCTGCGGGGGAGGCGGAGAGCCCTGGGCGCTGCCCTCCGCCCACTGGGTGCGCAGCGTGGGGGTGTGGTGTGCGCTCGCCTGGGGACGTGGGACTTACACGATGTCGTTGGGCTCCAGCCTCGTGTCGGGCGGGGGGTTGATGAGGACGTAGGAGAGCGTGTTCTGGTGGTCGTTCATCTCGTCTGCAAAGGAGACCGGGCCGCGTGGCGGTCACGGCTCAGCCGCTGCCACCCCCTCCGCTCTGCTGCGCCCCGTGAGCCCCAGGATCCTCCCGGCCTTTCCAGGCGCCCTGCCTGCACCCCGCGGGGCTGGCCCTACCTGACGGGGTTACCTGCCGCGGGCCCGGCACGGGCAGGGGTCGGCCACCCGCACCCTGGGCAGCCAGCATCTCCAACGTGGTGGCCTCGAGCACACCTGCCACTTGCACAAACCCGCGTGTGCCCACACACAGGTGCGCACACTTCCACACACACCTGACCCGGCCCTCCCGCTTGCCCCTCCCCTTCTGGGCCGACCACCCTCACCCCTCGTTCACCTCTCTGCTTTGCACATACGTCCTGTTTCCCAAAAACTGGTCCACGGTGTCAGCCCACAGGGCCCCCCAACCCCCTTCCCAGAGGAGGGGCCCCTTCGGAGCGCACAGGGACCGCCTGGTCTCTGGCGCACAGGTGGCGGTGGGGACGCAGCCCGCGGTGGGGAGAATGGATTCTCTGGAGAAGCACTGATCCCATCACAGATGCCCCCCCGGCCACACACACGGCTCCCAGCGGCCCTATGTTCACTGGCAGAGCAACGAATGGCTCGTGACCTCAGTTTACCCATGTGGCAATGTCTAAAGGCACCCCCTGACCCGGGGCAGCCATCAAGGGGATGGCCCTCCAGAGGGGTCTAGCCCTGGTGGCCCGTGGCCCCAGCTCTTGTCATTTCCTTTCCTGCACCGTTCGCTCTCGGCAGGACCGTACCGGCCAGGCCCCCGAGAAAGAGATTTCTGCAAAGCGGGAGAAGCAGCCAGCTGGCCAGCGAGGCTGGGGGCCGAGCAGTTCGGAGCTGAACCTGCCCCCTGCAGCAATGGGTCAGGCACAGCAGCCTCCTGGGAGGCAGGCGGGGGCACAGGCTGGGCCCTGGGGGGCTGTCCAGCGGACACGCGCAGACTCTTGTGCCGTCCCTTGGCACCAGCCTCTGCGTCTACTCCAAGAACAGCTTCCTGGTGACCACGGCTCTCTTTGCTCTCTTCCCACAGCCCGTGTTGGGGCCCTTTGGTGGAAGCTGCCAGCCACCGAGCAAGGGGGGCTCAATCGGTGGCCGTGCGGGGAGGCACACCTCCCAGCCCCGAGCCCTGCGTGCGTCTGCAGGGTGGGCCTCATGGCGTGTACAGGGGTGCCACAGGTAGAGAGGGAGGTGGGTCTTGCGGAACCCCAACCGCAGGTATCAGCGGAGCGCGATGCTGAGACACACGCCGGGTTGGGACACAGAAAGTGGGGGCTGGTGTTGGGGCCGGAGCCAGCAGTGGGTTCCCCCCAGGGCACACGGGCCATCCCTCCGTGGGCAGCCAGAGCTGGGTGCCCATCCTCACTTGCTGGCACCTGCTCATGGGGCCCACCCCACCCAGCCTGGGCCCGTGTCTCCCCCTGAGCTGGATGACCAGGGTGTTCCCGAAACCAGCAGAGCTTGGGACCAGACTGAGCCAGGCCTGGCTTTGTGCGTCTGGGGGTGGTGGGCTGCGAGGTGGGTGGGTGGGGTGTGGGGGCCCAGCTATAGTGCCAGGGGCTGAGAGGTGCTTGGTCACGAGCCACTGAACCCGATTTCTCCAGGACAGGTCAGCTTCACTGTGACCACCGTGCTCAGGTAGGGGCAGGGGGCTGATGATGGCTCTCCTGGCAAATGACCAAAGGAGATGTCACCTTACCCTGCCCCCCATGCCCACATCCCTATCATCCCAGGCCTTCCTGCGACCCTGCAGACCAGATGCTTCCCCCGCTCCCCACCCCATGCCCCAAGGTCTGCACGCACTGCCCCCCAGCCCGGCACCTAGCCAAGCCTCAGCCACCTCCCTCAAGGGTGGTGGCAAGCAGGGGTGAAGGCGGACAGTTGCGCTCTCAGTGGGCTGCCTGCCAGATGACGCCCTCCCTGGGGGCCTGGCTAACGGGCTTCCCTCTCCTCTGGTTTTGCATCCGGCCCCAGGTGCTTCCCAACGTCCACACGTGGGGGGCCCTCAACCTCAGCAGGAAGCAAGGGTGTGGCTGGGTGCAGGGAGGGGGCGACGCGGCCACCCTGTTCCTGGAAGCTGCCGGACTTGGATCCGTGCTGGCCCCGTGGGTCTTCCATGAATGCCATCCCGACTTTCAGGTTAAGGAAAAGCCTAAGAACCCAGGAGGGGCCGATGCCTTGCCGTCACGGGCCCTGATGGGCCAGCCCCGCTCAGCACCCCCGGGCTATGAGCTACCGAGGTTTTTCACTCCCGGGCCTGGGTCCGCCCCAGACGGCTTCCAGCCCAGGAGAACTGTCCCCTCTGGGGTCAGCCCTGGACGAAGGGGCTGCCCCAAGGTGCCTGGGCATGCTAGTTTGGAGCGTTCTCTAGGGCCGCGAGGAGCTCCCAGGGAAGGAAGGGGTCCTGGCAGCAGGGCCCATGACCTGGACGCTACTCTGAATTCGGTTGGGGTCTCAGGGCAGATCTGGGGGCCGCAGGGCGTCCTCTTGGAAGAAACCTGAGCCCCAGATGAGAAAGGGGAGTACGGACAGGTTTTGTCTCAGCTGGAGAGGGAGATACCCCTCTTGGAGCTCCTGCTGGTCCACCTGACTTGGGCGGCTCACAAAGGCCCAGGACAGAGCAGACCCCAATTCCCCAGCCGCCGGCCCAGGCCTCGCTGCGCTCTCCCGTGTGTGTGCACGTGCGTGGGACGCAGGCTCGGAACCATCCATCTGGATGCTTCCCCGGAGCTGGGTGGGCTCAGGGTCCCCGGCATCTCGGGCCAGCTGCAGGCCGATGCCACCAGCACGGTCAAGGCAGACACGGACAGCCGGGCTTACCCTCAGAACACACGGGAGCAGAAGGACTAGGGTGAGCCCTGAGTGTGGCGCAGTGACCGTCAGGGCACCTTCCCGGGGTCAGTCCCGTCCTCCACACCCAGAGGAGGAGGGTGTCCAGGGCCCTGCATGGGGGTGATCTGGGAGCACGGGGGCCCTCTCCTGTCTACTCTCCTGTCCGCCTGCCTGGCTGGGGCCGGCCCTAGGCGGCCCATTGGCCACGGCTGGCATGCCCCCTCGTGTGGCAGCCGAAATCCGCCGGAGCAGAATTACCTTGCAAATATCCCAGGTTTACCCGATTCATGACATCACTGGCTGTTAAATTTGCTACATCCTCTACGGAACACACAGGAAGAGGGACAGACAGAAACAGAGAGAGAGAGAGATCAGCAAGCAGAGCGTGGCCGGCACAGCGGCGGGGGGCGGGGGCAGCCAGCCGCACACGGGGGGCCGTGCACTCGGGGACTGGCAGCAGCCGGCGCCAGCCACCGGGGAAGCAAGTCCGTCCCCGGCAACGTGGGTTCCTGCTCTCTGCCAAGCTCTGGGGAGGGCAGGGGGGGTGGTTTGCAGAGGTCAAGGGGAACGTGGGACAGGTGCCAGCTCTAGGGTTGGCGGGCCTGAATCCCTATCTGCTGCTCCTGGCCGTGGGGCTGGATGCACACTGCTCGGAGGGGCAGGGAGGCGAAGGGGGACGGAGGTGAACCGTGCAGCTTCGGCATACGGTGGGGGCGGGGCTGGCCCCCAGACTCTAGCCTCTGGTCGCACCTGGAGGGGGGCGCTAAGGCCCCTGAGCCAGGCAGCACGCAGGAAGCAGGCTGGGGAGAGGCCGTGCCTGCGGTGGGATGGCCAAGCCCGACTCACAGGCAGAGTCCCTGAGACGTGACCCAATACCCGCCAGAGGCTCAACCCAGCGCGGGTGTGGGTGCAGACAGGAGCGGCGGGGAGCCTGCGCTCCCCTCCAGCCCCACGACAGAAGCAGCACCTCCAGAGCGGGCGTGGGAAAGAGCGCCTCTTCTCTGGCTCTGCTCTTGGCCAAGGTTGTGAACTTCTCCCCAAAATAAGCTCCAGAGAAAAGGGGCTGCCAGGGTCTGGGGGTGCAGCCACAAAGCAGCAGAAGCGGGTGACCGTCTCAGGAGCAGCCGTGGGGCCCGATGTGGCCACGGGCCCAGCTGCCCCCTGACGTGCCTGATGCACTCTGGCTGCTGGGAAGGCCGCGGCGGGGTGGCCAAGGGCTGCGGGGTCTCCCCGCCACATTCCCGTTCTCCACGAGAACACAGCGCACCCGCGCACGCCTGATCCCAGAGGCGCTAATCCTGTCCCCACGTGAGGACTGTGCCCTTGGCTTTGGGGGAGCCCTGCCTGGCCCGCCCCGCCCCACGGCCATGGCTCCCATGAGTTCCGCATGCTGGGCTCAGTCAGCTCGATCTAGTCCCTTGTTTTACAGATGGGGAAACTGAGGCCCCAGAGTGGTGAGGGTGAGCCCTCCCTGCGGGCCTCAGGGCCAGTTCTGGGGGATCCTGTGTCCTCGCACCAGAGGGGCTCCAATGGGCCTCATGGGGGCGGCGGGCAGAGCGGAGGCCCCAGGTGGCGGGGGCCCTGGGCACCACGGCCAACACCACGGTCTGTCCCAGCCCCGGTGGCGGGCAGCACTGCCCGGGCCCTTACCGTAGCCAGTGGTGGGCAGCCCCAGGTGCTTCATGCGGTTCTTGACCAGCTCGGAGAGCTCCTGCCGCTCGGAGCGCCGGTACAGGCTGAGCCGCTGCTGGCTGGCCCACTCGGCGGCTGCCGCCTTCCCCGCAGCCTTGGGGCCCTTGCGGCTCAGCTTCCGGGCCCACTGCAGGCTCTTGCGCCGCAGCAGCGGGTGCTCGGCTGGGTCCCCGCCAACCGAGTGCCGGCCATGGGTGCCGCCGCCGCCGCCGGTGCCCGCCCGCACACCCCAGGGCCCCCTCGCTTCCTGCGTGTCCTGGCAGTCCTCCACGCTCACCGAGATCTGGGACTGGCCAGGGCAGGAGAGTGATGGGGAGGGGGGGCCCCAGCCTCCTGCTGGGGGACCCCAGGGCCCAGGGGCATGAGCGCCTTCCTCCTCCAGCCGGGGGGTGGGGGGTGGGGCTGCCAGCCCCAAGCCTTCCTCCTGAGCCCCAAACCGCCTCCAGGTCTGTCCATGTTTGCTAGGTGGACGAGGGCAGTTCCCCCACCTCTCGGGGCCCTGTTTCCCCTGCCTGTCCTGATTTTGCCATGGAGGACCACCCCTCTGTGAGCCCCGGTTTCCTTATCTCGGAGAGCAGGAGAGAGCAGGGACGGGGAGCGTGGTAGACAGGGGGTGTCAGTGGCTCAGTGGGTGCATGGGAACCCAGGGACTCGTGGGGACTCCCACCTGGGCAGCACCCCTGAGAGGCTGGGGGCATGGAGGTCGGGCCAGACCAGCAGGGAGGGGCCCCCGCCATGAGGGGGCGCCCCAGCGGGACGTGCACAGAGCACAGGCGGCTGGAGGAGCCTGCTTCCCCAGGGGCCCTCTCGGAGCTGTGCCGCGGCTGACCCATCCTGGGGACGCACTCCCTGACCCTGCCATTGCCCGGGGCCCCGTGCCCCCCAGGCGTAGGGTGGGGGAGCTCAGGTAGGACTCTGCACCCGTCAGCACAGCTTGATGTGAGGCTCATGAGGCCACTCACCTGGGCTCTGAGGTCGTGGGGCTGCAAAGAAAACCAGGGGCAGCCTGGGTGCCTGTGGGTGCCTCCGGCCCCGCCCCCGGCCCCAGACACTGCCTGAGCCCCTCGTGGGCTTGGGACCCGCATGGCAGGCTGCCCCCTGCGGCTCCAGCTGACAGCACAGGGCCCCTCGTCCTCGAGCTCCCCGGCCCCACTTGGGGGTCCCAGCCACCCAGCCCCGTGTGGGGGCACAGATCCGAGAAGGGCCTGACAGCAGAGGCCCGGATCCCAGACTGAAACACGGCAGCAGCACGAATTACACAGGAAGCCTGCGGGCTCTTGTGCGCGAGCCCATCCTCAGGAGCCCCCCGGCCCGAACCTCAGAGGTCGAGAAGACGTGGCACTCGGTCCTGTAGATGCCGATGGGGATCTCGGCGCTGGAGGAACACAGCTTCTGGAAGAGCCGGCCGTATGTGCGGATCCACAGGTCCTCCTCTGTGACTTTCATCTAGAGCGAGGGGGGGCCCTGAGCTGGGGGCCGGCCGTGCGCGTCCCACGACGGCTTGCCCACCCGGCCGGCCCTGTCACTCACGGCGCAGAGGTAGCCGGAGCCTGGCGTGGTGTCGAGGCCCAGCAGCAGCCTGGTGATGGAGATCATGTAGTCCTTCACGAAGGACTGGCCGGAGAGGGAGGCCGCAGTGAGGCGGGGGCGCCCCGGGGACAGGCCGGGTCCCCTCACACGCCTGCAGCCTCCCACTGGGAAGCCTTGCCCGGCCTGGGGATCGGAGACCCAGAGGCTGCCGGGAGCAGAGCCCAGGGCAGTGCCTTTCTGGGAGAAAAGGATGGGGGACACTAGGAGTGGACCCAGGCGGGGCGCTCAGAACTGGGCTTTGTCGGCTGGAGGTGGAGAGGGGGCTGGGGCTCCCGCTGCCCTCGACCCCCTGCCCTCCTGCCCCCGCTGACCTGGTAGAGCAGTGTGTCCAACATGCTGATGCTGAAGACGCGGCCCGCAGCAAACGGCAGGCGGAACATGAAGGCCAGGTTGGAGCCGTTTTCCCGTTCCCTCTGCAGGAAACGGGGACTCAGGCGGGTGCTCCCACCACAGCGGCGCACGGCGGTGCAGGGTGTGCGTGCCCCAGCGGACGGCCGACCGCGGGCCCTAGCACCCAGCTAGCGCCCCCCAGACGCACTCAAGGGTGGTCTGGGGCTCCCTGTCCCATGCTGGGCGTGGGACCCGCACGGTCCCATGGGGCCCCACGCTTTTGCTTTAACGCGCTGCTCTCGCCGTCCCCAAATTCGAAATAATCTCAGTAATTTTATCCTTCAGCTTGTGTTTTTAAGTCAAGTCGGACAGGACGGTGGAGTGTGTGGACACAGAAATCACGGAAACGCGGGCACCGTTCCTGCCTCCCTGTTCCCCCGTGGCGCCCACGATGCTCCGTGAGCACCGAGTTCCAGGGACCGGCCGCGGGGGTTTCCTGCGGCTGCAGGAACACAGATCCATCCTCGCCCAGCTCCGGATGTTGGGAGGCCAACGGCGTGGGATGAAGGCGCCAGGGGGGCCACGCTCCTGGCAGCTCTAGGGGGCAGTCCTTTCCCCTTTCGTTTCTAGAAGCTGACCACGTCCCTCCACTTGCGGCCCTTCCCTCCCACCCCACAGCCAGCACAGTGCAGCTGCTGACCTCTGACCCTCCGCCTCCTGCCTGGCAGGTCCCCGGTGAGGACACTGGGCCCCCGCGGCCCCCATGGGACCCTCTCCGGTCCACAAGGTCCCTCGACTGCGCACCACACTCTGTCCAAGCCCTGGCGAGTTGGACTTGGACGTCTTCGGGGCCATGATCCCCAGCGCCCAAGGTTTGCTGCGACCGATGGCTGAGAGGCCCCCTTCTCATGGGACCAGACTTGCTTCAAAGGCAGAAGGCAGGCAAGGTATGCAGAAGACCCAGGGGCCGCCTGGAGGCCTTTCCTGCCCGAAGGCGGCAGGGCATGGGCACGGGGTGCGAAGCCGGATGGTGGGCTCTGGTGGTGGCGCCCCGGCCGGTGAGGCGAGCCGTGTCTGGACGTGGCACATGCTGTGCAGCTCTGCAGGCCCAAGTCTGGGAGCGCGCGTCTGTGTGCAAGACTCAGGGTGCGTCACACGGGTGCGCAGCGGGACCCGCAAGTTCGTACAAAGGGCGCCTTCCTTCCCCCGACCGGCACCTGTGAACCGAGGAGGAAGCGGGTCCTGGGAGGCTGCGGAGGGCCCGGGGAGGCGGGGCGCTGCGGCGTCTTTAACAGGACGTCCCCGGCGTTTGGAACACGGGGCCCACGTTCTCAGGCTGCAGGAAGCCCTGCAGGTTCTGTGGCTGGTGCTGGAGGGACGCGAGCGCTCTGACCAGAGGCCCAGCTCGTGCGTGTGTGCCGGCGAGGTTGGGACAGGCGTGGATGAGCCCCTCCTGCAGGCGGAGCAGGGGCTGGAGGCCGCACTGGACGGGCAGCCCCTAGGGCAGAAGCGGCCAGAACGGGGTGGGGGGTCCGCACGGCGAGGCCCCACCTTCCCCGGCCATCCTCCGGCCAGGTCCTCTCTCTACACGGCTCTGTGACCAGCAGGTGCCAAGACAACTTGGGTCGCCCTTTCAAAAACCACCTTCTTCATCTAGTGCTTCTTGAAGTAGAAGACATGCACGCTTTCATAAAGATAAACCGCCATTAATTCTGTAAAGAAACGAGCCCAGCGGCTCCTGTGGGGTCCGTCGCCATCGGGGCACACCTGGGGGGGCAGAGACCCACGGGGGCGCCAGGGAAAGCCTAGCCGGGACGTCAGAAGACAAGGCCTCCGTGGCCTCCAAAACAAGGCGACGTCGGCTCCAACCATCTCCCGAGGCGGGCGGCGATCCGCAGCTCTGTCAGCCCTTGTCTCTGCGGCCCGGGGCCTCAGCCCACGTCAGCCTGCAGGAGCCGGGGCTGCCTCTCACACACGCCGGCTTCCTCCCTTCTGGTCCGGGCCCAGACCACAGAGCCACACGATGGGGTCCACCGGTCCTGAGCTGGGCAGGGGGGGTGCGCCTGCCACCACAGGGGTCAAAGGGGGACGTCAGCCACAGAAGGAGGGGAGAGCGGGAGAGCAGGCTGACCGCCTCGAAGCCCACCTCCTAGAACAGACGGTGCGGGAGGCCCCTGCGGGACTGTGTGGGCTCAAGGGAAGCCAGCAGTGAGGGCCGGGACCAGCAGCCTGGAGCCCAACCCCGTGCCAGTCACCCCCACCCCTGCTCGGGTCAGACCTGAATTCCCAGACCCCGAGAATCCTTCTCAGATCCAGAGCAGCAGCTCCAGCATTTGGACCCAGAATCCGGTGCGCTCCAGTCATTCCAGGGATGGACGCTCAGCCCGTAGGCTGCTGGGAGGGGCTCAGAGTGGCTGGGGGACCGGCCCCGGGTGCCGGGCAGACACTCCAGGGAGGGCCTGGACGGGATGGGTGCCTGCGGTCCCTCTGGCCGTTGCACTGAGCAGGCGCCCCTCTGTCTTCTCCGAGGGCCTGGAGACCACCTGCCCGGCTTCTACTTGTCCCTCTGGCAAGCGGAGCGCCAGGATCCCCAAAGGCCTCTTGACCCGCCCCTGGGCAGCACGCACTTCCACCGTCTGCCGGCGTTCAGAATGAAGCTGCAGCTTGTCCCTTCTGGCTGGGGCCCATGGCCCTGCCTGGCTTGGGTGGACGGCAGCTGTGTGGTCAGCTGCCGAGGCTGCGGTCTGTTCTCTGAGGAGGCGGGCAGCCCCGGTCCAGGAGCTTGGCGCTCACAGGAAGTGCTTGCTGCACCCAACCTCCCGAGGAGGCCTGGGCCTCCTCTTCGGCAGCTCATGGGCTCCCTGGTCTCGCCCTCACCCTAGCACACACCCTGCCCCTTGCTGTGGAGTGGTGCAGCCAGTGGCCTGGGCAGGGACAACCTCACCAGAGCCTGTGTCCCCAGTGGCCGGTCCCTGTGCCCCAGAGCTCCGCACCAACACCAGCCGATGCCCTTCCTGGAGCCCCGGGGAGCCAACAGTGGATTCCCACCCTGCCTCCCCTCCACCGTGTGACCCCAGACAACTGCCTCCCCTTTCTGACCCCCAGTCCTTTGTGTGCACCTGCCAGGTGGTTGAGACCCATCATGTTTCAGGTTTGGGCACAGCACCTGGGGCACGGGAAATGGGGAGTCAGTGTTCCCTGCGCTGGTATTTACAAATACGGCAGGCAGCCTCAACCCAGGCCTGGACCCGGCCACCAGGGGGACCAGCACCCCTAAAGGCTTGGGCAACACAGGAGCCTCACGTGGGAGTTGAGTCCCCAACTCTGCCCCCCTCTGGCCAGAGGAGAGCAGATGCCTCGGCCTCCCGGCCCCTGAGCCCCAGAGCACCCCCGAACCCATTCCCTCCAGGCTCTGAACCCTGACAGCTCAGGAGGTGGCACGGGGAAGGTCAGGTGCAGCTGCTCACCTTTTCCAGCTTGGAAAGAGCCAGAGAGTAGCTGTCCTTAGCACGGAACTGCATGAACCGCATGTTGGAAGGGTGGGTGAGCTCCGTGGTGATGCTCAAGCTGGGGAAGAGCCTGCAGGGGAGCAGGGGCTCAGGGCGGGGTCCCCTGATCATGGACGGGGGAGCAGGGGCTCAGGGCGGGGTCCCCTGGTCACGGACGGGGGAGGAGGGGCTCAGAGTGGGGTCTCCTGGTCACAGATATTGGGGGGCTCAGGGTGGGGCCCCCAGGTCATGGATCGGGGTGCTCAGGGCGGGGTCCCATGGTCACAGCTGCAGCAATGGCTGGGGGGCTCGGGGCAGGACCCAGCCTGGCCCTGCCGCGTCTGCCCTGGGTGTGAGCCCCTGGCCTCTCACCGGAACATGGTCTGCACATTGACGATGGTCTTGGCGTCTGCCATGTAGTCCTCCTCCGCGCTCATGGTGCTCTCCTTGTCCACCACCACCAGGTTGTCCGCATAGATGATGCCGCACTGCAGCAGGCTGTCCAGGCTGGGGTGGGGGGGTGAACAAGCCGTGTGGCCAGGGGTTGCTGAACGCCAGGTTGGGGGTGCCGGGAGCTCCCTCCAGGCGCACCTTGCTCTCCCTCCCCTCTACCTCCTGGCCTGCCCACACCCGGGGAGGAGCCTGGAGGAAGGGAGGGGCGGGGAGGGGCCTTCCGCTAAGAAACGGGCTGATGCCCCCTCTCCATCGTGGGCTCTGTAGGGAGATGGCGAGGCGGCCCGGCACCTTACTTGTCCACGGAGCCCTCCATGTAGTAGACCATGGGGAAGCAGCAGATGGCCTCCAGGAAGTGGTGGTCGGGCCTGTGGGGAGAGCAGGTCCCGGGGGTGCCCGTCCTGCTCTGCTGCTCGCCCCCCGTGCCCAGCTTGGGCCCTGCCCTGGGTGAGCAGGGCTGGGTGGAGCAGAAATCCCCCAGGACCGCAGCACATCAGACCTGGGGGGCCTTCAGAGACCCATGGGGCTGTTCTTTATTTTGCCTGAGGGTGAACCACAGTCCCGGAGCTGGGGGGGACTTGCCCAGGTGAGACCCCGGGCTGGGGGGGGTGGACGCCCCCCGGGGATTCGCAGTGTGGGGAACAGGAGAAGCCGTGAGGGAGGGAGGGAGAGCCTCGAGGCGGGGAGAGCCGCAAAGGGGGGAGAGCCGTGAGGGGGAGAGAAGCCGGGAGGGGGAGAGAAGCCGGGAGGGAGGGAGGGAGAGCCTCGAGGGGGGGAGAGCCGTGAGGGGGAGAGAAGCCGGGAGGGAGGGAGGGAGAGCCGGGAGGGGGGGAGAAGCCGTGAGGAGGGAGAGCGGGTGCTCCCGAGGCCCAGGGGCAGGGGCCGGGGCAGGGGAGGGGCCGGGGCATCTGCAGGCGGGGGCGGGGCTGCGCGGCGGGCCTCACTTGTTGTCCAGCAGCAGCACGATGGGGCTGAGCTCCTTGCGGGGCCTGTAGTAGGCCCGCAGCGGCACGATGAAGTTGTAGAGCCCGTTGCCCGCCGTCTCCGCCGACACGATGACCAGCTTGTTCTTGAAGCCGTAGGCCTTGGCGTCCTCGTAACTGTTGTGCTTGCAGCCCTGCCGAGAGGCCGGGCAGCCGTCAGCCCCGGAGACGAAACCGCCGTCACCTGAGCGGCGGTAACTGGGCGCATCGGGAAGAAGAGCACACTGAGCCCCGCGCCAAGCCGTGGGCCGGTTCTGGGAAGGGCTACGTTGGGAGGGGCTCTTCTGAACTAGAAGTCCACTGGGGGCAGGTGTGGTGGCCCCCCCCCCCTCCGGCTGCCCTGCGGCTGGCCAGTCTCTTCCCGCTGGGTCTGCACTTGACGGTGCGTGGTAGCAGCTCCCCGGCTCTGTGGGGCCTCCCTTTACCGGCTCTCACACCGCAGTGGCCACCGCGGTGACACCAGGCTCCCCGGGGACCCCTCAGCGAAGGGCGCCCACAGGCACCCGGTCGTCAGCGGCTGGCCCCGGTCCCTTCACGGCCCGCGGCAGCCCCGTGGGGAGCCCCGTGCCCCAGCAGACCCTGCCCGTGGCAGCTGGGCGTCAGGCTGCAGAAAGGCAAGCGGGGGCCCGCGGCGGGGACGGCCGTGTCAGGGAGGGGAGGAGGCGCCGTGCGAACCCGCATCTTAGCAGATGCAGAAAGGAGATCTGGGTCGTGCGTGTCATGCGTGTGTGTGTGAACGTGAGTGGGCGTGCGTGTGGGCTCTGGCTCTGTCTGCTGAGGCCTGCATGCAGTGACACCCCAGGAGCCGTGAGTGCGCCCCATGCCCAGAACTTGGTGTCTCAACCCCATTTTGCACCGAGAGAAGCGGGGCTCCCTGCAGACGTGGCTCCAGGACTGGAGCAGGGCAGGTGCACGACGGGGCGGGGACACCACAGAAGCATCCCAGGGACGACGGGGACCCCGCCCCGCCCCAGCTGGCCTGCCGGCCTCCCCCCGTGAAACGGGAAAGTCCAAGCCTCGAAGTCAGTAACGACTGGCCACGGATTGCAATACCCCAGGAGTAAACGCAGCGATAAGCCCTGAACCAAAGGGGAGTCTGAGGCCACGCTGTGTGAAGGAGTAAATACAGAAGGGGACGCGCTTCCTCACGGCAGAACACTAACAAACAGATACAAAAGGAATCTGGGATGAGAGACACCCAGGCAAAGGGCAGCTCTCCCCACAAATGACTCACTAACCGCAAAAGCAAAAACGGAGGAACCTGGGTGGGCCACGTGTGCCACGTGATCCACATCAGCTCCCCCAGGGATGCGGCACAGGGACGTCTCGTGCCTCCAAGGACACGCGTCACCTTTGGAGATGGGGCCCCAGGTGCACACACGGAGTCTTCTCACGAGAAAGTTCGTGGACCCCCGGGCAGGTGCCACCAAACCACTGTCCACACCTCCAAATGCCAGGGCCGAGAGCCGAGAGAAAAGGGATGGGACAGCTGCATGCAGCGCGTGGCGTGGACTGGTTCCGGCGGGGAGCCCGCAGCGTGAAGGGCAGTGAGGGCCGTGGGACCGGTGGACCGGACGGGAGGGATGGGGGGGGATGGCCTTGCTCTCAGGAAGCAGGCAGGGGTGGGGGGAAGGGTTCCACTTGCTCTCAGGTGGTTCGGGAACCACACGCTGCGGAAACCGACGCACGTCTATGGGGGACGAGAGCAAACAGTGCGTCCGGGCAAAGGCCCAGGACTTCCTTCTCGTCCTGCAGCTCTTCCGGAAGTTCGCAATTACCTGGAAGCGCAAAGTCAGGCAGAGCGCGGGGGAGGGGGCCACCCACCTTGTCCAGCCGCAAGCAGCAGAACGGGGCCTTCACGGGCAGGAGGTGGCACAGGGTGGGGGAGCTGCCGATGTAGGGCGAGTTGGGGGGGTAGCCCTTCACGTACCTGCCGTGGGAGACAGGAGCCCTCCTGTCAGCGTGGCCAGGGGGCTCCGGCTCCGATCCCCCCACCCCCGTGGCTCCGCCCCGGCCCACGGTCCCCGTCCCCAAAGGGCAGCAGGGCTGTGCCCCGGGCGGCCACACGGAGGCGCCAGACCCCGCGGACCGGTGCCTGCTCAGGGACTGCGTGTGGGAAGCAGGGCTGTGCCCCGACCACAGGGTCTGAGGTGAGAATCCACGCATCATGCACATGCACACACAACACACACGTGCTTACACGGGGCCTGGGATCCCGGGCATAGCCCAAGGGTCGTGCCCTCCCTGAAGCCCCCAGCACCCCAGCCCGTGGGACAGACGCTGGCCCCCGGCCCCTCTCTGCTGGCTGCCCTGGGCTGGGCGGGTCTCCCCAGCGGCACCCAGCGCACCCCCCACGGGGGCGGCCCCAGAGGCCAGCTACGCCACCTGCCCGGGGGTGTCCAGCTGCCCTGGGCGACCCCCGGATCTCAGAGCTGGTCCCTCTTTAAGGCCCATCTGCCCCATCTGGGAACCAGACAGAGGCGAGGAGCAGAGAAGGCAGTGCCATGGCCTCGCTGGGGGAGCCCTGGCACCTGGCTGTGGCGCTGCCGTTGGGGCACTGCCTGTCTGTTCCGGCCAAGGCCAAGGGGCCAGACAGAGGCCAAGGCAGAAGGATGGCTCAGGATGGCCAGGGGCCTCCGGGCCTGGACGGAGCCTCACCAAGGGCTCCCCTAGTCGTGACCTCCACAGATGATGCTTGGAGGACAGCCACACCCACCGAGCAGACCTGGCACCGAGGTGTGGTGGCCCAGGGCATGAGGCGGAGGAGGGCCGAGGGGGCAGGCAGCACAGCTTGGCTTTCACATCTGTGCAGAGTCCCCAGAAGATTCCATTTGCCCAACACAGTCTCCCGCGAAACCCCGGCTCGGAGCCCACGGGGGACATTTCCCTCCCCATGCGCTGGCCACAGCCCCCAGGCCTGTCTCTGATTCCCCCCCCCGCCCCTGCACCCCAGAACACGGCACTCACTCCACCACAGACAGCCCCTCGTCGTCCGACGGCGTCAGCTCGTCGTCCGACGGCTCACTCAGCAGGTCGCAGGGCAGCAGGGCCGAGCCGTCGGCCAGCTCCAGCACGGGCGCGATGCTGGGCCGCCGGCTGCCCGAGCCGTTCTCTGCGGGCAGCGTGAGCTTGCCGCCCCCGCTGCCCCCGCCGCTCTGTGCCGGCCGGCACTCTGTGTTCTGGAGGTCCATGGCCACTGTCCCTGGAACAGAGTGTCCGACCTTGGCTGGCTGCCCCTCCCCGGGATTTTCCTGGGGGCGGCTGGTTCCCAGGTCAGAGGTGGGACCCCTGGTGCGGGGCCGCTTCCCCCCGCCGGAGCAGGCACCGGGACACCAGCGCCCCCTGCAGGAAGGTGGGGACAGACGGGAACACGGAGGCCCAGGGGGAGTGCCCGTCCGCGGGGCGCCTCACCCATGGAGGCCACGATGCTGTGCATGGGCAGGCGGGAGGACCCGTCGTACAGACCCTGCCCCGAGAAGCCCTTCTTCTTCTGCTTCTCCTCCTGCTTGAAGATGAAGGCGGAGTTCTCCTCCTTGGTGATGTTGATGTAGAAGCAGGTGTCCGAGGCTGCCAGGGTGTGCCGCGGCCCGGGGTTCAGCAGGATGCTCTTGTTGTCTTCCCGCTTCAGCCCGATGAGGCACACGCCGTACCTGCGTGGGGCGCGGCTTCAGGGGGCCCAGCGGCGGCTGCCCCGGCGGCCCCGGCAGACCCGCGGCCCCACCGCCCGCCCGCCCGCCCGGGCGCGTACTTCTTGTGCGCGTGGAAGGCGGCGTAGGTGAAGCTCTTGCCCTCGTACTCGCGGAAGAACTTGCTGTCCCCCATGCGCACGTGGTACACCTCGTTGCCTGAGCAGCGTCCGTACATGCGCTGCCACTGTTCTGGGGACTCCTGGCCCTCCCTGCGCGGGGCGGCCGCGACGTCACCGGGGCCGGCCGCCCCTCCTGCCCCCCTGGGGGCTGCCGATGCCCCCCCGCCGTCCCGCGTCCCGCGTCCGGCTGTGGGTGGAGGCCAGCAGGGCCAGCCTGGACGACCCGGACCCTGCCCTGTGTGGCTGAGCCTCGGGGGGTGGCCTGAGGGGTGACCCGAGCAGCTTTTAAAAGCTGTAAACACAATGGTCTGACTTTTAGGCGGGTGCCAACATGTTTTGGAGCTGAGACTGGCGTCGGTGGCCTGTGGGCTCTCCCGGCACCCCACCCTGGCCACCGCCTGCGCCGTCCCTCCCCGGGCCCGCCCCCTCCCACGCCCTCTCCCCCAGCACTCACTGGCCACGGGACGTGTGCACCAGCAGGGTGATGAGCGTGGACGTGGCGGGACAGATGCAGTTGAGGGCCAGCATGGCGTACTTGCACTCCTCCTCACACACCACGTGGTCTATGGCAGGAGGGGGCAGGTGGCCGCCCAGGCCTCGCTGTCCCCACAGCAGGCGGCCCACCGCCCAGCACCCTCCCCGGGGCGCCCCCTTGTCTGCCCCAGCACCTCTGTGCTTGATTCCCAGCTTGATGAGAGCTCCAGGGCCGGGGTCCTGCTCACCTGCCCCCCAGGATCCCAGCGGGGGCACGCCCACACACACGCCTCTTGGATGCACCACTGACCCTGGGGCCCCAGGCGCAAGATGGTCATCTCACACGGCGAGACCTACGTGGGCTCCACTGCGCCCCACGCCTTGCTGAGCACGCTCGGCTGTGCCCCCCGCTAGGTCTTTACTCCAGCCCTTCTCTGCACCCCACCTGGCAAAAGGCACCGCCACCCGGGTGCACAGCCATGGCCCCACGTACCTGCAAACTTGACGTGGAACTTGTTCTCGGGTTTGAGAATCTGGACGTAGAGGGGGCAGTTGGGTGCGAAGTCCTTCACGGCCCAGGCGCGCAGGATGGTCTGGTGGTCCTGGGTGGGGAGGTGGGGTCAGGGCTATGGGGCGGCAGCCGCTGAGGGGAGGGTCTCTGCCCTCAGGCGTCCTCCTGCTCTGGCCCCAGGGGCACTCACCGCCGCCGTGCGATCCACTTCATTGCGGCTGCTGAGGATAAAGCAGGCCTCCCCGTTGTCCATCCTGCAAAGCACCAGGTCTGAGCACAGCCTGGACCGTCCATGCTCTGTCTCAGACGTCAGGGGCTCAGCGCAGAGGCCGGAAGGGGTGGGCCCCGTCGAGACCCCACCTACTTGGGCTGATGGCCTGGCATCAGGGCACTGACCAGCTTGGGGGGGCCCATCCTCTATGACCCCATTAAGCCAGGGCTGGGCTGGTGGCAAAGAGGCTGGACCCTGCCCACTTGCCGGCCTGTCCCTCCCAAGGTCTGGGGACATGGATGACGCATTTTGCTCTCCTCTCCCACCCCTGAGAGCCCTTGGCTGCAGCAGGGGCACCGAGGAACTGCTCACGCCCCAGGGCTGGGAGGCCTGGTCCCTCCCCACCACGTCGCCCTGCACCCTACCCACCCTGGCCCTTTGCTTGTCCCTGCCAGGCCTCTGCCTCTCCCAGCCCCTTGGCCTGGAGCTGGGTTCTGGATCACAGAAGAGGCTGGGCCCCCTGGCCACTGCCACCTCCAAGCTGGATTCCTTTCTGAAACGCTACGGGTGGGACAGTGGGACCGACCCAGGGCTCAGGAAGTGGGCAGGTGGGTGCCTCGGCTGTCCGGCCTCCTGCTTCCCCTTGGCCCGTACAACCCACAACCCATCACAAAGGATGACTAGAAGTCCTTGGTATGGAGACGTGATGGGTAGACTGTCCCAGAACATGCACTAGCACATTCTGGAAAGTTCCATCTAACAACTTAGTCTTTTTTTTTTTTTTTTTAAATATCTTATTTGTTTATTTGAGAGAGAGAGAATGAGAGAGAGAGAGCACGAGAGGGAAGACGGTCCGAGGGAGAAGCAGACTCCCCGCCGAGCAGGGAGCCCGATGAGGGACTCGATCCCGGGACTCCAGGATCATGACCTGAGCCGAAGGCAGCCGCTCAACCAACTGAGCCACCCAGGCGCCCTGACAACTTAGTCTTCTTACGTCAAGTCACTCTGTTAGCTTGTCTTTAAGAGAAACCTCGCCCACAACCCCCATCTTCCCATCATGGTTCCACCTGGAGCCACTCCTGGAACCCCACTGCATCCTCTGGACACCAGAGCAGGGGAGGATGGGAGCTCTGGCAGGCTGACCCTTGGGCACGGGAGGACAGGTGGGCTGGGCAGCGTGGGGCCTGGCTGGCCTGGGTGGGCGGCGGGCACAGAGCTGGAGCTGCTGGCCTCCCTGCTGACCCTCCCACCTCGGGCCCCTGCTCAGACAGGCTCGGGGCCCTACCCTCGGCCCCGGGACGGCACTCACTTGGCTCGCATGAGGTCCTGGTCCTTGAGCGCAGAGCCCTGGAGGTAGATGACCCGCTGGGACCACAGGGGGATCTGCAGGACCCTGCGGACCTGGATGTCCATCTCGGTGGGGCACAGGATGACAACGTAGTAGTCCTGCAGGCGGGCCTGGGGTCAGTGTGGACTCACCCACACACGTGGGGAAACCGAGGCCCGCAGCGCCCAGGGCGCCTCACCTGCAGCCGGGGGTGTGCATAGAACTCGTTCAGGAAGTCCATGAGCAGGTCGATCTTGAGGGAGCTGACGCACAGAATCACGTGCTTCTCGGTCTGCGCCCGGTGACGGCTGTAATTGCCCCCCGACTTCTGCCGCTCCATCCACAGGTAGACGAGCTCCTCGAACTGCAGGTGAGAGCGGCCACGTCCCAGGTGGCCCGGGGCTCAGGGGGCCGAGAGGGTGCCGGCCGTGCGGGGAAGGGTGCTCTCCCTCGTGGGGCAGCACACGCGGAGCTGTCCTCCCCGGATAGCACAGATGGGCCGGTGGCGGGTCGGGGGGCAGACGTCCCAGCCCCCGGTCCCCAGAGCCCAAGTGACCCTGACGCGATGCCCAAGTCTGCACTCCCGACATGCAGGTGACGATGAGACCCTGGGGACGCCATCGGCCCCCGAGATCCCTTTTGGAGAAGCCTGGGGGTGTCAGGAGAGTCTCGGGCACAGAGTCTGAAATCCAGACTCCGGGCGCGGAAGGGCACTTGCGGTGCCCATGGGGTCCCGCCCACCCCGCCCACGCCTCCTGGACGCCAGCCTTGCGTCCTGAGTCCTTCTAAATTAGGAAAAGGACAGATGCAAGTGGCCCAGGGCAGGGAGCAGGGTCCCGCGGAGCCGCGGGGGTGCGGGCGGCCTCCTGCCTCCAGCCGATTCCCCCTCCAGCTCCGGGGCCGCGGGTTACCGCAGCTTCCGTCAGTGGCAGCAGCTACCCTCCAGCGGGCTCACCCGTGCTGGGCGGCCCGCCACTAGCTCGCTGAAACGGGATCGTTTCACTGAATCGATGGCGCATCTGCTAGGTTCCAGGGACAAGACCCCGTGGCCCTGCAGCACAGGACCGGCTCCACCGCCGGAGGGGCTCCCCTGGGCAGGGCGGGGGCCATGTGCCACAGGCTCCGGGCCCAGGCCTCCTCCTCTGCCACATGGCACGGTGGCGTCTGCCTCCCAGGGCCAAAAGGGGTAAGTGGCATGACCGTGCCAGGTTCAGTCATGTCCCCTGAGAGTCATGTCCACTCGGAACCTCCCCGTGGGACCTTATGTGGAAACAGGGTCTTTGCAGGTATGATTAGCTAAGGTGAGGTCAGACAGGATTGGGGTGGGCCCCCTAAAACGGGGGCAGAGAACATGGAGGAACAGGCAGGGAGGAAGCACGGGAGGACGGAGGCAGGGATGGGAGAGATGCAGCCACAAGCTGGGGGAGCCCCGGGATCCCCGCGGCTCTGGAAGCAGGAAGGGCATGAAAGGGAGCCTCCCTCGGGGTCTCCAGAAGGAGCCGGCCCTGCCGACACCCCGGACTCAGACTCGGGCCTCCAGACGGGGGCAGGACGTTTCTGCCGTGTGATGCCCGCGTGTGCGGTGCCGGCGGCTGCCCCCGGACGTGTGGCGAGTGCGGGCAGCAGTAACCACTGCCGCCTTCTGGGAGGGAGATCAGCGGGCACGCTGCTGTCTTTGCTCTTGTCTGAGGGCGCTAACCAGGCAGCGGACTTAAGCGGAAGGACACGGGGAAGAAACGGGGACCACCCCCCTCCTCCCTCCCAGAGGGGGCGGGCAGCTACTCCAGCAGTGAGCTCAGCCGCAGCCTGGCTCCTGAGCATTCAACCCCAGCCCCGTCCCACCAACAGACGGCGGCCCCCCGTCGAGAACGCCGGCCCTAGCTCCTCGCCCCGCTGGCCGTGGCCACCCCACGGGGCCCGCTGTGAAGGGCTCACCCCTCCCATCCCACTCGGGTCTCTGACGTTGCTCGTTCCCGTGCTGGGCGCCGGGTGGTGGGGGGCACAGGAGCTGGAGGCGCACCTGCAGCGGGAGCACCACAAGGGCCACGCAGATCATGATGACCACCAGCAGCTGGGACGGCCAGATCTTGGGCGTCACGTCGCCATAGCCCACGGTGGAGAAGGTGACGATGCAGAAGTAGAAGGCCGTGAGGAGGGACAGGTTCTCTCCTGCTCGCTCCAGGTGCTGGATGCCACAGGTCCTGCAGATCCGGGTGGTCAGAGGGCTGTGGGCGGGGCCGCAGCCACCACAGAGCTCCCGGGGTGCAGCTCTGCCTGCCCAGGTGCCCCCATCACTGGCAGCGGGACCCCCACCCCACACGTGGTCCTGAGTCCAGCTCAGTCCACGTGGGCTTCCGGCGCTTGCCCACCCCCCCCATCTGCCAGAGCCCGCACAACCCAGCTCTTCGGATTTCCCCCTGGACATTCCCTTTCCGGCCCACAGCTCTTTCGAGGCCCCTGGAAAATGCACCCCGAGGTTGGATGGGGAGTTGCGCTGGTTGAGTGTGGGCCTGAGAGCCAGTGGGGGTCGGTGTGCCCCCGGCTGTGAGCCCCCATATGCCACCCCACCTCTGAGCCGCCTCCTCACCCAGGAGGTCAGATAGGGCGTGGGGCTTGCCCATCCCCTCCCGGGCTCAGAGCTGCACAGCCCTGCTGCCCACACCTGTGACCCCCAAGTCCCGGTCCCCAGACGGAAGGTGCTGCTGGCAGGGCCTAGGGGGCCCACAGCACCCACCATGGGGTGCTCAGCACAGAGACAGGCTCAGAGACCCTCCCCCAGGGGGACAGGTGCCGGAAGAGAGAGGGCTGAACCACCAGGGAGCTTTCCACCCTGTGGATGTGGGTCTTGCTCCGCCGAGCTCTGTGTGTTGGTAGGGCGTGGGGAAGGGGAGGCAGGAAGCACGTGGCCCTCCTTCTCTCCTTCCCAGGCCTTGATGCCTGCCCCGCATCCTTGCCCGGGGCACAGGAGGTGGTGACTGGCTTCACCAGCACCGGGCAGGGCCCGACCCCTGCCTCCTCCTAGAGGAGCTGGACTTAGGCCTCCAGCCCCCTGGGAGTGTGGGCTCTGAGCCGTCCCCCGGGCCTTGGGCCAGACTGCCACCTGCCACGCTGGGGCCCTTCTGACTTCTTGGACACCAAGGTGAGGGCCGTCCGGAGGGCTGGTGGGACCCCTGCAGGGCGCACTCACCCCGTGAACACCAGACACAGCAGGGTGCAGAACAAGATGAGGACCTGGTTGAACATGGCCGACTGCGTGCGCAGGATGGCGCGGTGGAAGTCATTCTGCGGGATGCGGGGCGGTCAGGGGCAGAGCCTGGGACCTGCCACAGGGCCGGGGCCCTTCTGGCCGCGCATCCCAGGGCCCGTGAGTGAGCAAGAGAGGGGAGGGGTAGCGGTATCCCAGGCCCTGCCACGGGACACCTGCTCTCAGCCCTCAGCTCTCTGCAGCCCCCTCTCGCGACCCCCGGGGTGGGGTGGGTGGGGGGCACAGGACTGGAAGGCCCTGGCTTTAGTTAGGATGGGGGTGAGCCCGGGGGGGCCCGGACTCGGAGGGGACGGCCGCCCCGGGGGGAACCCGTGTCAGGCTGCCTGCTGACAGCTCTGTAAAGGGGTCTTGGCCAGACACTCAGCAGAGGGCCTGTCCGCGAGCCCGGGTCATGCGGGCCTGGTGTTTGTGGCCCATTTGCTCTGGCCCCTCCTCCCCGCAGCCACTTATTTCCTGGGCTCAGGCAAAGCTCCGGGCTGAACCTCCTCTGTAGCACGAGGCAGAGGTGAGTCCTGGTCAGGACAGAGACAGAAGGGCGGAGACCGGCCTTTCGCGGTGACAGACATAGCATGCTTCTGCTTATCACCCTGGCCTCCTGGGGCGGGACGGTGGCCAGCTCCCCGCCAGGCTGGGGGTGTCCTGGGGGGCTCACCACCCAGGCCAGGAGGACGGCAGCTGCCCAGCCCGCGGCTTACGATCATGTTTTCCAGGGCATGCTTGGCCAGCCAACAGTTCAGAAACACGGGGATGAACAGGTTCCTCAGGGGCGCCCAGAATATCTGTGAAGGAGACGAGTCAGGGGGCTGGCACTGGCGGTGCCCCACTCTTCACACGGCTGCTCACCCACCGTGACAATGAAGGGCAGTGTGTTGATCATCTCCAGGACGAAAGAGACTCGGAAGATCTGCTCCCAGATGTTCCCCTGGGGGCCGTGGGGGCAGGAAGAGAAAGACGAGCCAGCCAGGAGGTGAGGGAGTGCGGTGGGGGTCAGGGAGTGGGGTGGGGGGGGACGAGCCAGCCAGGAGGTGAGGGAGTCAGGGAGAGGTCAGGGAGTGGGGTGGGCGGGGGACGAGCCAGCCAGGAGGTCAGGGAGTGGGGTGGGGGTCAGGGAGTGGGGTGGGGGGGCGAGCCAGCCAGGAGTGGGGTGGGGGGTCAGAGGGGAGTGTCAGGCCAGGTGGGGGTACTCACTTTGTAGCTGAGGTAAATGAGGAGCATTGTCTCCAGGAAGCTTATGATGGCCACGATGACCTAAGAGGGGTGGAGCCTGAGTGGGGCTGGGGGTAGCAGGGCCCACCCGGAGCCATGCCCCCCACTCACCTGAATCGCCCACAGAGTCATCTTTCTTTCCACCCAGAGGATGGGCGCCCTGGGGAGGGAGGGAGGTGAGCCTCGGGCTGTTATCCCCCAGCCCCCGGGCCTCTGCTGACCCCAAGCTGCCCCTTGGGCGGATGGAGGGAAAGAAGAGGAGGGGAAGGGGAGGCCCCCCAGGAAGGGAGGCAGGCTGGAAGCTGAGGGGGCGTGGGGCAGCGCTGCAGGCTCAGGGGGCCCTTCACCCTGGACAGGCTCACTGGGGCAAGTGCAGACTGAGCCCGGGGCTCCCTTCCTCCCCAGTGCAGCCTGGCTCTGGGGCTCTGGGAGGTGCAGCCCAGCGGGGGAGGGGCAGGATCTGCTGGAATGCTGGTGGTCCTATGGGAGGTGGCCACCTCCCGAGCCCCAGGGGACGCATCCTAAACTCCAGACCAGGCATCGTGGTCGCTCTGGGGCCGCGGCTCTCCTTGGGTGAACGTGTCACCCACAGGAGGAGTAGTTACGACTCACTGAGGCCCTCCCTGCTGCCCCCCTCCCCACCCACGGTCTGTGGGCTGAGCTAGAGCGGGGGTGGGGGGCGGGAAGGGTGCTGCTGAGTCAAGTCCCTTGTGGTGACGCCTATCATTCTAACATGGCCCCCGAGCCCTCAGGTGCTCTGAGGGGCATCCCAGCACCGCCCAGCGCCAGGGCCAAGGCTGTGCTTCTGTCCCAAGGGGCTGGGCCAGGGCAAGGTCCCAAAGCTGGCCAGGGAACTCACCAATTGATCTCGGAGGATGAGCCATTGAAGGTGTAATTCTGCTTTGGGCAGCCCCAGCTGTGGAGAGACAGAGCTGGCCCAGCCGAGTCCCTGAAGAGATGCTTCCCAAGTTGCCATGGGCTCAGGGAGCACGGTGGGTGGCCACCCACCCCACCCCACCCAGGGCCAGCTCCCTGAATCTCAGACAGGCTGAAATGCAGCCTGCCCCCACCCTACAGACCCCCAGGCAGGCAGGGTGGGAAAGCACACCATGCTGGGGCGGGGAAGCTGGAGATTCTGCTTGGTCTGACAGGAGGTTGCTGGGGAGGGTTGTCAGAGGTGGACCATGGGGCACTCAGTGCCTCCCGGAGACTGGAGCTGCCACAAACAAGGCTGGACGGTGCATGAGAGATGGGGGAGAAAGCTGAGCTCCCACCTTGAGGTGCTGACTCCAAGACGCATGTCTCTGAGCCACTCTCAAGAACAGGCCTCTCTACACCAGCTGGATGCCCAGCCCCTGGGAAGGTGGTGGGGGCATGGCAGACCTGTTCATTCTGCCCCAGGATGTAACCAACGCCAGGGTCACTGACCAAGGGGATCTCACTCTCACAGAGCCCCGTGGTGATAGGCAGCTCCCTCCCCCTTTTCTTCCAAGTGACCCCCTTCCCCTGAGCCTCACTGGGGCTGTTGTTGCAAACTCAATGCTCACAGATGTGGCTGGCTGTCCTCCCACCCACCCACCATCCACCATCCATCCATCCACCCATCCATCCATCTGCCACCCAACCATCCATCCATCCATCCATCCACCATCCATCCATCCATCATCCGTCCAGCCATTCATCTACCATCCATCCATACATCCATCTGCTATCCATAGTTCATCTGTTCATCTAGCCAGCCATTCATCCATCATCCATCCATCCAACAATTCATCCACCATGCACTCATTCGTAAGGCCTCCATCCACCCACCTATCCACCCATTCTACCCATACTTCCACCAGGCCCCTTCTCCATTCATTTCCCCTCCCCCCTGCCCATCCATGTGCTAGGCATTGGGCAATGAATATGATAGACCTGGTCCCTGTAGGGTTGTGGAACCAGATGCTCAGGAGCCTCTGGGAATGGGAGAAGGTGGGATGAACTCAGGAAAGTAGTTTGAGAGTCAGTCAGAGTCCCCAGTTTTCCTTCTCAAACCAGCATGGCTGAATCTGTGCAACCCCCCCTGGGGTGAAGACGGGAGGGGTTCTAAGGGAGGGTGAAAGAGTGTCTCTGGCCTGGGGACACCAGATCTGGCTGCACGCAGGGAATTAAGTGCAACTTGCACTGTCCTTAGGCCCCAGCTTCCTCCCTGGCTCGGCCTGGGAGCCCAGTGGCCACAGTTTACCCTCAGGGAAGAGGCGGGAAGAATCTGCTCTGAGGAGTGAGCCTGTTCACCCAGATGACAGTGATGACCAGGCTGCCCGACCTGACAGTGGGGCCCTCAGCATGTGAGTGCCCACCTTTAGTGTGAGCGGCTAGGGAAACTCACTCGGTGTGAGCTCAGGAAAAGCAAAGACTGAGCCAAAGAGAAAAACATAAGAATCCAGGTTCCAGATATCACCTCTGGAGAAGTGGGAAGGCAGTGCCTGCCTGAAGCAAGAAAGAGCTCTCAGAAATTAAAGCACGATGCAGAAAGATGGAGGCCAGGCTGGAAGTAAAGCTAAGGAAGTCGCACGAGAGGAGAAACAGGGAAGACAGGGTCATCCAGAACCACAGGCCCGGGCATTGGAAGCCCAGAGGCAGTGGAGGGGAAGGGGTGTAATCTTCCAAGGCCATGTCCCCCCCGGTCTGGCGTGAGAGAGAAGGGGCCACGCCAAGGTGTCCCAGAGACTGCCAGACACAGGCACAGAGAGATTCCACCAGCCTGCCAGGAAGACAACTGTGCTTCCCACAAGGATGACAAGCAGAAACGGTAGCCGGAAGACCACATGGTGAGAGGGGCCGAGGCCGACTCCCCTGCACTCATGAGCCTGCAGGACAACTCACAGCTGAAGGGGGTGGGCTGCCTGTGCTCCATGCTGGGGAGGCGGGCCCAGGAGGGGCAGGTGGGACCGCGTGCAGCCCCGAGAAAGGAACCAAGAGGCCCCGCCTGGCTTGTAATCCTGCCCCCTCCCCGGCTGAAGGCAGCACAGAGCCGGTCGCTGAGCCCCTCCCGTGCACCACTGGAGGCACACCCACAGTCCACGGCCAGGGGGCCCTTCTCCCCGGGCTGAGCCCGTTGGTCAGCAGGACCCCGAGTGCGGCATCCCGGGCCCAGCTCTGTGGGGGAGGACACTGGGAAGGAAGGACGCCCTGAGGGGCCGGGCTGGGCCAGGTGCTGGGCACACGCCCCATGCTGACACCATCGGCCTTGGGGCCCGCGAGCTGCCACAGCCCCCAGCTCACCCACCATCCGATCCCCAGGGCTGGGTCATCAAGCAGGACTCGGACGATGTAGAGCAAGCAGGTAAGCAGCTTCAGGGAGAAGTTGAACAGCCGGATCCTCAGGCCTGCAGCGGAAGGGTTGGCACGTCAGGGCCACCGGAGTCCCACGGCAGTCCGTGCCAACAGCTCCCCCTGGGCACCTGGGACCCCCTGGGCGGGGCTGTCCGCAGGGACTGAGGGACTGCTCTGCATTGTCAGGGGCTGCTGCTGGCCAGCCTCTGACAGCCTCCATCCCTGTCCCGCCTTACAGATGTGGGTGCAGACGGCTCCCCACACCACTCACTCCTTGGGACTAGGGGGGTCTGGGGGGCACACTGGTGGCCTAGGACTCAGGGGTACCACCTCCATGCCCCATCCTGCATCCCAGCTCCTGCTTGGGAAAGCAGGCGAAGGGAACCTGTCAGGGGAGCGGTGGGGTTGCACGGAGGGGACCAGGGAACCTTGCAGGGTGTGGGTAGGAGGGCCCAGCCCAGCCCGGTGTCCAGCAGGGGGGTAGGGTCCCCACAGTTTCCGGGTCCTGCCTCCCACTGGGGGGAAGGTGGTCTGAAGCTGAGACCAGGGGCCTTCCCCCTGCGCCCACCACTCACTAACATAGCTCCTCCTCTGCCCCGGCCCCTGACCCACACAGGCCCCCTGGCTCACTGACAAACCCCCCTCCCCCAGACCCTGCCAGCCCCACAGGCCCTGCCCCCCACAGGCCCCCACTCACTGGATCTCTGATTTTTGATGAAGAACAGCTTGAGCCGCTCCTTGAAGGTGTTCTCATTGACGTAGAACTCCACCTGGACCCTGGGGGCGGGAAGAGGGGCATGGGGGCTCTGGGCAGTGGGGGCTCACGCAGGGCCAGACCGGCACTCCCACACTGCAGGAGCCCAGCAGACAGACAGAAGGCGGCAGCAGGATGAGATCACACCCCTCCCCGTGATGACCAGTGCACCTGCGTGGTTCTGGCAGACCTGCCCACCCACCCTTGCAAAGCCACTGGGCACAGCTGGGGGCCAGTCAGTGGTCACCAACTCAGCATCAGGGCCCCCGGAGGTGAACACCCATGGGCCCCCAGCCTGGACTGTCATAGGCAGCCAGCCACCCGGATTAAATGCACCCTGTGTGGCCCTCAGCACGGGCTCAAAACATGCCAGCTCATCTATATAGAATGTTCTGGAAGCTGGTAGTCGGTTGCTCTGTCTGATGGCCCCTGGTGGCTGTGCCCCGAGACTAGCTGCAGCCTGCAAGATAGTCAGGCTGAGGGGCCAGCAAGATGTGACCTTCCCTGCACCCGCTGTCAGGCCAGCACTGGGCCCCTCCAGCCCCGGCTGCTCTCCGTCCCTCGGGCTCGCCCGTACACCCGGTGAATGCCCACATGCTCCGAGTCCTGCCCAGGCTCCCAGCGTCCTGGGACAGACCACAGCAGACCCAGCATGTCAGTGAGGGAGTTGCTGTGGGAAGGGCCGTCTGGTCCCTGGGGGGTAACACAGAGCCTGGGGCAACGGGCCACTGCCCGCCACTGCCCCGGTCTCAGATGGGGGCCCTCCTGTGGCTGCTGGGCCCGGCGTGCTGGGCTGATTCCCCCAGAACGGCCATTGTCCGCCAGGGTGGGGGCTCCGACCTGCCGTGGGTGGGCTGTGCAGAGACCCTGGCTCCCACTGAGGCAGAAGTTAGCCCTGCTCTTACCCTGACAGCAGCTACGGGTCTGCCCCATCTCGAGAAGGGTCTGCAACCATCCTCGCTCCCCAAAGCCTGTTCTGGGCAGAGCGTGGGACACAGATGCCGTGTGGACGGGCCCCGGGGGTGGGCCCTCGGGAGGGGCCTTGGGCAGGGCGCCGGCACCTCCTTGACCTGCTCCAGGCTGGGGGCCTTGGCCATAGTGGCCTCTGCTGATCACAGAGCTCAAGAAGGGCCCCAGAGGAGGTAGGGGTGGTGTGGGCCCCTCTCCACTCTTGGGTCCTGGTGCAGGGTGGTCACCCAGCCACACCCTGGACTCCTGGAGCCGAACAACAGGAAGGGCCTCCTACAGACCAGTGAGGTCCAAACCCAGAGCCAGTAGCCAATGTACCCCCTGGTGCCCCAGCGCACCCCTGTACCCCAGCACACCCTCTGTACCCCACCATACCCCTTGGTGCCCCAGCACACGCCCTGGTGCCCCAGCAAACGCCCTGTACCCCAGCACACGCCCTGGTGCCCCAGCATACCCCCTGTACCCCAGCACACCCCCTGGTGCCCCAGCACATGCCCTGTACCCCAGCACATCCCTGTACCCCACCACACGCCCTGGTGCCCCAGCACACGCCCTGTACCCCACCACACCCCTTGTACCCCACCACACGCCCTGGTGCCCCAGCAAACGCCCTGTACCCCAGCACACGCCTGTACCCCAGCACACGCCCTGGTGCCCCAGCATACACCCTGGTGCCCCAGCACACGCCTGTACCCCAGCACACACCCTGGTGCCCCAGCAAACGCCCTGTACCCCAGCACACGCCTGTACCCCAGCATACACCCTGGTGCCCCAGCAAACGCCCTGTACCCCAGCACACCCCTGTACCCCAGCACATCCCTGTACCCCAGCACATCCCCTGTACCCCACCACACCCCCTGGTGCCCCAGCAAACGCCCTGTACCCCAGCACACCCCATGGTACCCCACGACAGCATACCCCGTCCCAGCACATGCTCTGGACCCCAGCATACCCTCGATACCCCAGCACACTCCCTGTACCCCAGCACACGCCCTGTACCCCAGCACATGCCCCATACCCCACTGTACCGCAGCATAAGCTCGTTTCCTCTCTCACCTTGGAGGGCTCCCTCTTTGGGAGGGAACTTCCTTTGGAACCCCTGAATCCCACCTTCCTCTGTAGGTGCCACCTGGAGCTGGGTCGGGAGGCCCCTGACGGTCGCTGGGGAGTTGGTCAGACAAACCTGGCTGGGCCTGGGTTCAGTCTGGTCAGGTCATGGGGGCAGATGCAGCTCACGGAGTTGGGACTCCCCAGGGCCCCAGAGCACCCAGCTCAGGAACACACCCTCCCCGCCACGCTCCGGCCCTCTCCCGGCAAAGCCTCGACACAGGGGTCTCCCAACCCCACCTGTGCCATCTATTCAGGCTTGCTCCCTGGCCAGCAAGGCCCTGCCCGGCCCCGGTGGCTGGTGGCCATCGGGCTCCTTCCTCCTCAGCCTCCCAGGGCACTGCCCACGCTGCCCTCCTACCCCAACCTGCTCTGGTCACCTCCTTCTCCCCCAGACTCCTTGGCTATCCCCAATCCCAGCTCTGAACGTGCGATGCCCCAGGACTGGTCACGGGTCCCTCTCGATGCCCACCTGGCCTGCTTCTGCAAGGTGACTTCAAAACCCCAGCTCTCCTCTGAGCCCCCAGCTGCCCTCTGACATCGCCCCTTGGGGTGTTGCTCCCTAGACCAAGCAGGACCAGACCCTCCCCAGGCCAGAGGCGGCTCCCCCCCCCCACCGCAGACCTCAGACCCCCCCCCCCCCGGGGCACCCTCTATGCCACTGAGAGCAAGCCCCTATTCTGCGGGCTCCACTCCCTTCGGGGGTCCCACCACTTCTGCCTCCCTTGCCTGTTCCTGCTGGAGGCCAGTAGGTGAGACAAAGGGCAGGAGGCCAGAGTCCCTAGCTCCTTCCCGCTGTCTCTGTTGGGAAAACCCAGGGACTCCCAGCTCCTTCCCAGGCACCCCCAAACCTAACCTGACCTTGCCCCCTGCCCTACTTCCCGCCAGCCACTTGCTGCACAGGTGCCTTTCCTGGTCCTTCCCCCGCTTCCCAGGCCCGTGGGGTCAGGACTGCTGACCTGGGGCTGGTCAGGCCCTGACACCTTCACTTCCAGGTCCCTGTCCCCTCCCCTGCTCCCCAAAAGTGGAACCCTAGTCACTCCTCGGCCGGCCCTTGTCCGCTTGTGGGGGTAGCTGCAGACACCCATCGGGACAGCCCCCCCCCAAGGCGGTCGGTGGTCAGCGGCCTGCAGGTGGGGGCGGGAAGGGCTTGCAGACATGGCCATGTGGATCAAGCCTGCAGGGCCAGGGAGCGTCAGGAAGCCTTCCCCACTTTTAAGTTTTCATGAGCGGTGGCTGCCCACTTCTAGCACCGACACAAAACAAATTACAAGCTGTCCTTTTATCCTGAGACACAGGTGGTGATGAGCATAATTAGGCCGGCCCACGAGGAAATGCCTTCCAGAGCCGCCCAGACCCCACAGCCCCAGGTTCACGGCACAGACTGGGCCTGGCTGAGGGACGTGCTCTGGGCTCGGCAAGCCGGAGGGAAGAAGCAAGGGGGCCTGGGGTCACAGACGGTCTGGCCTGCCCGAGGCCCTGGCCCTCCACTGCCTGGCTGCCCTGTGGCCCCTGCACCTCTCTGAGCCCCAGCCTCCTTACCGGGGGAATTAACAGTGACAGGACCATCTGCCACGGCGTCTTGAGGGTGCCAGGCCGGGGTCATTGGCTCTGGAGACTTTACCTGTCCTCCCTGCACCTCAGGCTTCTCCCTGTGAAGTCTGGCCAACCGCTCGTTCCCAGATGGATTAAGTGAGAGACCGCCGCAGTGCGGGGCCACCGGCTCGGATGGTGCCAGTGATCACAGCTGATCTGATTCTGGGTCCCACAGTGGCCCGCTCTGTCGCTCACATCACCCCGGGAAGATGGGCCCTGGGCCATAAATCCACATGTGTGGCTGCAGACGGTGCGTGGCCCATGCCCTCCGTGGGCAGGGGTGTGACCCTGGCTGGGGCTGCCCCCTCCCCCGATGGCTGGTCCAGCTATGGCTCAAGGCCCTGTGATGGGCCGGGTGACCAAGCTCACAGGAAGCCGCCTGTGGGAGGGCCGGGAGGGGGGCCCTGGGAACCCACACACGGTGCAGTGGCCTCGGAGCTCGGCGTCGGCATCCAGGGCCGGCGAACACTGCCTGGGTGCCACAGGCTGGGGCGGAGTGAAGGGGTCTACCTTCCTACGTGTCTGTTCTCGGTGAGAGGCCTGGAGAGGAGGGCTGGGCACACCAGGGCCACTGCTGCCAGGGGCCCGGTCTAAGGCAGGGGTGCCCCACGGGTGTGCACTGGATAGGCCTGGTCTGGGGCCCAGAGGCTGCAGGAAGTCTGCGTCTCAGACAGCCAGCGTACCGCCTGGGGTCAGGCCACCAGCCCCGAGGACTGGACAGGCCAAACCTGAGTCCCATCTCTGGGACAGTCCTCAGCCCTGGTTCCTCTGTCCACAGAGGTGAGTGGCTCTCAGGCTGGTGAGGACAGGGGTCCAGGCCGAGCAGACAGAAGGGCCATCTCCCTGAGTCCTGCCATGGGGCCCCTCAGAGGGCTCCAGCCAGACTCATCCCTCCATGCACGGGAAAGAAGATCCAGCAAGGCCCGAGACTGGCCAGGATCAACCTGTGGGTCACAGGCACTGGGGGCTCTGGGCTCCCCATGGGACCAGGGCCTCTTGAATGTTTGGGGTGGAAGCTCAGTCCCTAGCTGGCTCTGCCCCATCCCCACCTGGCTTGTGTTTGAGCAAGGCCCACAGCCTTTCTGGGCCCCACAGTCTTGCCCACACTGGAGTGGACCCCAAGAAGCTCCCCTTGCTCTGGCAAAGCAGCTCAAACCTCACCCATCTGGTGCCAGGACCTGCCAGGGGAGCCAGGCAGGGGGAGGCTGGGAGCCGTCCAGCTCCCTGCTGACCAGCAGGCTGACCGGTGGGCCAACAGGCAGGCCCTGCAGAATCCTTGCAGGCGGCTCTGGCACGGATGGCCTGTGCCGGGAAGCTCCAAAGGCAGGGCCCCGTGGTTGGCCTGAGGGGA